AATTTCCTGGAAGTGTGGAATGAAGTGTGCGGCAATACTTGCTCATGCTGAAGAGATTTTCCTGCCTCGTGGCTGTGAAGGAACGGGCGAGGAGGAAAATCAATCCATGAGAAAGTGAAGTTGTTCTCCCAGGGCAGGTGTTGCACTGGGACAAACATTGTCCTTTTTTGTGCCTGTTGGCTCATGTTTTCCTCAGGGACAGGCTGAATCCAGCATGTCCAGACTGTTCCTGGGCATGGCCTTGCCCCGAGCCCTGGAAAATCCCTTTGCTGTAGGGACCAGGAGCCAGGAGGAGCAGGTGAGTGGCTGCCGTGGAGCATCACAGAGGGGAAGTCAGCAGAGTTCCTTGGAATTTAGAAGATCACTCAGTTGTGCCACCAGTTATGAGTCATCAAGGAAAGGATTTCATATGGTAGAGAACAAGGGGTGATTCTAGTTCAACATTCAGGGAAAGATTTCAGGATTGACTACTGAATGTATATATTAAAAAAAAAAAACAAAACAAAAAAGAGAGTAACCAACCACTACCACCAACAAAATCACAAAAAAACCCCATCAAACCCCCACCAAACCAACAAAAATCCACATAAATGCACTTCCAGGTATCTACATCTAAGATGGATGTGCTTGGAAGAAAGAAAACTTTACACATCTCCTCATCTAGTTTGCTACATGACAGAATAACATCCTTCAGTCTGTCAAGTTTTTGTCATCAAAAGGCTATGAAATTCAAAGAAATGTGTTCTTTATACATTATTCAGTGTAGCTTTCCAGTTGCATACTTTGTAAATAGTATTTTTAGGGGCTTTGAAATGATGAGAAGACAGGGGACAGCCAGTTTTCATTAGATTACCTTACAATTTTCAGCAGAGTAGAAAATAATTTTTTAGTGCTATAGAAAATGGTATAGTGCATGAAGAACACAATCACCCATTTTTCCTACAGAAAAAGACCCTTCTGTCAGTGAAATGTAGTTCAAGTGAAAAATCAGAGTACATTAGCTATGTGGCTCCAATTTTGTATGTAAATTGCCTTCCCACACCCTCTCAGTATTAGTGCTTTGGTGACAAGCAAAGAATGTAATTCTGTTTTGAGCTTTTTATCTGATGATAAGTCTCTGTTCTCACTGCTCCCTAACTTGTCACCACTGTGGTGAGATCAATTGCATCCTAAGTGCTTCAAGTCATAAGATATTTAGCATATATTCATTAAAATTCTGTATTTTCTCCATTAATATTTTTAAAGGAACTCCCTAAGGTTTTGGGTTCCCCTTGGTGTTAAAGCTAATTTTCAAGGACTTGTTTCAATAAATTGTTAAGAATATTTGCTTAACATTAATTTCTTTTGTCAAGAGGTGATCGTTGCTTTTCTTCAATTCTATTGAGCTTGAGTGCTCAAGGAGGCATCCAGCAGACAGTGTTACACTTCAGTAAATTGGCCTGCAATATTTTTACACTGAAAAACTGGGATTGATTCCACCTCAGAAATGCATGACATAGATATATGTCTTCAGCTTAGAAAACCTGGGCCCAGAAATTAAAAAACCTGAGAGCTTGGATTGTGCATCTTAGTGAAGTCAAGTCAGAGAAATGTTGATATTGATGGCCATGAAGGAATTGTGGGGAAGAGGAGTAAATGCCAGGGAATGTCAGAAAACATTGGAGGCAGAACAGATCAAGCACTGGCTCGAGTGCTGATCTGCAGCCCCAGGTACAGCCAGGGTGCAAATGAGGCATTTTTTAATGATTAGAAGACTTTGGCTTTGCAAATAGATTTATAGTGGCAATAGAAAGAGGAAAGTGCCTGGTCAGATGGTGGTGGATGGACACTGGGGGTGTTAGGGCATTTCTCCTGCAGGTGCAGGCAGCCAGGCTGAGAATCAGCTGCCCTGTTCAGTTCTCAGTCTGCAGGAGCTTTGCATCTCATGTAACTGTCAAAATCAAAGCCTTGTGCTGGGGGAGGCAGGTCCTGAATTTTGGCAATGTGGTATTTGCAGAGTTCAGGTTCTGTCACAAACTGTCTGCTGCCTTGTGGAATAAAGGGGGAAAGAAGGAGAAAAAAAAATTAATAACTGCCAACACAAGGATTTTAAAATGATGCTGAAATAATTTTGTAGCTTCCTGCATCATATCTTCATTTCCTCAGCTGCCATTTCCCTCCAATACAAATAAGCTATCCCAGTAACCCTGCTGGTAACCAGCACCATGGTGATACGTGATTGAAATATATTTAAATCTGAGAAGAGAAACACCTGACTGACACATGTTCAGGTGTAAGTTCAGTGTTTCGTTTAATGGTGCTCAAGCTTTGAAAAAAGGAAGATGCTGTGAAGGGGAGGCTTGACAACAGCATCTTTGACTGCTGCATTGGCTGGGCTTGCAGGCACCCATTCTTTTAGGATGAAAAATCAGATTTTATAGTGCATGGAGACACTTTAAAGGCTCTTTAGGGTACAGTGTGGAATTAGTCTCCCCCTCTGTTCCCCCAAATGTTGTCATGTCATGAGACACAATGAAGTTAATGAATAAACAGTTACAGCATCGAAATGAAAACCAGTGCATGGTGCCAAGAGATGGAACAAGGCAGGAGCTTCTTGATCAGGGCCAGGCAGGAGGAGTGTGAACGTGAGCAGGGGCTGCTTTGTCACTGTGATCTGCTTATAATGACAACGAGTGAAGAAATCCAGGGAATGGGCTGACATAGAGTCTTCCTTCAGAACTGGAAAGCAACATCCTATCAGAGCAGGTACACCCTCAGAGAGAGCAGCAGGGCTTTGAACACTGATATTATCTTCTATATTAAACTCTCACACTGCAGTGGGGAAAGGGACACAACCAATACCACAAAATGCCTGATAGTAAGAGAGCAGCAAAAGCATTTAGCAGAACTTTGGCATGGACTGTAGATAATTCTAATAATGTGTATTAGGTTCTGCTCTTATCTCTGTCCTTCTTTTATTTTGATTATTATAAACACATTCCTAAAATTCTTATCACTTCATTGTCTCTTACACTGGGTGTGTTATTAAGATGATCTCATACACTATTCTTCCTGATGTATTGAGATGGTTTGTTATACTGTTGTGTTCCAGTTCTGAGATGCTGGAGATATCAAAAAATTATTTTCTTTTTAAAAGTTGAGGAGGTTTTTTGTTGTGTTTTTATTGTTGTTGTTGTTGATTTATTTGTTTGTTTACTTCTCTCTTTCACTTCCTTGTGGTTCTGGGAATGGGAACAGGCAGTGCCAAGTCCTAGGTACTACTGGAAATATTTCTCAATTAATGTTTTAACTTGCATATCAAAAAACCTTGGGGCAGCTGAGGCTTGGACCCTAAAGATTCCTTAGCATTGCCCAGGATGGGCCACACGCTCATTTTAGAACACCCTGAAGCTGCTGCAACAGCTCAGAAACAAATGTGTTGGCTGAAACCTGCTCCAATGTGTCAGGAAAAGACAGACTGGAATTAGGCAGATCTGAAGAACTTAGGCCTGTAAACCTGCAGGAGGCTGCTTAGGATAACAAGTAAATCCAGATTTAAATATTTAAACTTCTAAGTATCAGAAAATGAATGCATAAATTTGAAGCCCTGTAAATCTGTTTGTCAGTCTGTGTGTAAGGTCAGGTCAGGTAGGTTGTACCATCTGATTTACTCTGCACTTTAGCTTCAGTGTTTTACTTCTGTCAAAATCAATTGCTGAACTTTTGTAAAGTGTTTCTTTACATCATTTACTGATGCAAATTCATATAAAATAGCTCTCCTTGCTAGAAAGGCAATGTGGGAGAACACCAAGGGTGCTCTCAGATTCTTCATATTTAAGAAATGCTTGAAGAAGTCTGTAGGATTTATTAAAAAGATATGGTTTTATCAGTGAAATAACAGAAATATGTCAGGTTTGCTTGCTTAGGAGAGGCTGGGAACATAACTGTGAAGCATTACCAGAGATGTGTCTCTGTGTCCCATATAGAAATTATATTAGGAGACAAGAAGCTCTGATGGAGCTCTTCCCTGGAAACACCAGGTTTGGATGAATCTCTGTATTTTCTGCTGTCCTTTCTTGCATGCTGTGGACTTAAATAAAAATGAGCTGATCTGGGTTTGGCTAAGAGCAGAAGAGTGGTCAGAAATATAATTCTACTTCAGAGATGGACAGCAGCTTTTGGCTTCAAGTTTGGCCTCAAATTCTCACATTTCTTAGTGTGTAATGTGGAATTGGGCAGTACAGGCCTAATTTTTTATTTATTGGTTAGTTATTGGGTTTTTTTGTTTTGTTTTGTTCTTAATACTGGTCTTAATTCTACTGTAATGCTTAAAACAGAGAGAGAATTTGTTACCACATGTGCAATCAAATAAATGTAATGACTGGGAAAGCCTGGTCCCTTCTGATTTAATAAAATGATGCTATATCTGGAACAAGGTGAAATTACTTCCTATTTATCCACACTCCTGCTGAGACTAAAATTAACCTAAAGAGGTGCTTAATGGCACCCACTAAGCCATCATATTAATTAAACAGCTTTATAACATTTACTTTCCAGGAAAGCACCTTTTCTTTTATTCTCATGATTTCTTTTATTTGACACTGTAGAAATCATATATTCTAATAACTCTTATGTCACTAGTGATTTGCAGCATTTTTTTGGGAAGCAGCTCCCACACTGTTCTTGGCTATATATATGTGTGTGTATATATATTTTTTTTCATTAAAGTGGTGCTGGCAAAGCATCCCCTGCCATCACGGGCACTGACAGCTGAGGTGGCCTGGAAATGCCAGTTAATTTGGACATTAGAAATGTTATACTAAATTTTATCTCCTTTTTAGGGGTGTGGCAGGGATAGAGTGCAAGAGGGGAAAGGCTGGATGATGGAGGACATGACAAGGGTCTGCTCATGGTAATTCAAACCTGGAAAAAGCATCCAACTAAACACAGTGATAAAATATACTGGAGATGGCTGGTGGCATTTAATATTGATTCAGTGCTTATGTTTTATTTTCTTTCAGTGTGCCATTGGCTGAAGATTTCACAGATACCAAGGAGTGCAGTCTTCCTGGAGCCTGAGGGGCAGAGAGGCACCAGAGGAGCAGGGAATAATAACCAGGTCTCCTGCTTCACAGCCCCATATTTACATTAACATTTCTCTTCTTCTTCTCTTGTGTGTCATAGTGACATTGGTGCTGCTCTAAATGCATGAGAAAAAATGAGAATTGTGACAGGAAGGTAAAGCTCAGCAGAGGATTGTACCAACATGGATAGGATGGATAAGGATCTGCACAGGTACAGAAACATTTTCAGGGATCTGGTTCCCCTTTTTTTTCCATCAGAATTTAAATGGAACAGGCAAAACCTGGTTGTGTAAAGGTTTCCATTTACTTTCTCCCTTTTTCTATAGAGACTTGAAAATTGCTGTTTTTCCTCCTGGGTAAAGATGATATACATACTCATGTTTCCAGACTTTTTGTAGTAGAAATCCCTTTGTGTTTCCTTTGAGCCACTTCAGTAATGCTCATGGCTGTGGATGTGCCTTTCATGGAAGCCTGAGGGGAGTACACACCTTTTCCTTACATGGCCACATATTTCCTTACTTTTTTCTTTTCCTCCTTTTCTTCTTACTAGTAAGCAAAAAGTAATTTCCTTTTTAATTTTTGTTGTTGTTGTTTACAACTGGCCCATTATTTATTATGCTCAGTTCTGAAATCCATCAGAATTTTATCTGAAAGTCTAATTTGCCTAAAGGCTGGACCTATACTTTTATTCCCTCATGCAGTGCAAAGGCAGTGTACTCTGTCAAAGAGTGTGGTTGGACTGGATTCAGGAAGATTCCAGGTCAGGCTCAGGTCCCCAGGGCTGGGCAGTGAGAAGGAGCTGGCTGTCCATCCACCTGGGCACATCTTCACAAAGAGCCAGTAAATGACTGCAGACTTTATTCAAACCAGTAATGCTCAGGTGCTTGCAGGTGCCAGCACAAGGAATCCCTTTCAGAAACAATGCTGTGCTTTCCTAGAGCTAGCACAACCATCTGTGTATTCTTGGAATTCCATCCCTGGAGCGTGGCTGAAGCCTTCTGCATAAAGGAAATAAGTCTGGTTTAGGAGAGGAACCAGAAGAAACAGCTATTACTGATAAGAAGTTATTGCAAGCAGAGCCTGGGATCCCATGCCAGTTGGCAGGCTGAATTATTGACCAGATTTTCATCAAAAGGACTTGGATCCTTTTGAAAAGTGATGCAGGAACATGCACTCGAGCTGAGATATCTAATGATTTAAAGCTTTGTATTAAATAACTATTCAGCTGCAGTTACTGAGTCAGTCCAGCCCACCTTAAACCCCTTTTCCTAGCTTGGAGCATTGTAAACTTGGTGAAAAATACCACCTTCCTTTGTGTACATTAAAAAAAAAATTATTAGCCTTTTAGAAATGATGAACAGTTGAATTCACAGTAATTGTCTGTTACATCATAACTTGCGTTAACGGATTCCCACTGTGATACAAGAGCTGGAAGTATTTTTCCTTCAGCTGGTTAATGTATTCAGAGTCTTTTAACTATGGCTGGAAGTGATGAAAACATGTCATTTTTCTGACATGTATTCTCAACCAGGAACTCTTTACTTGTCTTTTGCAAGTACAATAGACTGTCTATAATAATATCTTAGCTCAAGCTGGGGTATTTTTGAAGCAGATGCTCATGTTAGTCATCAGCTCTTGCACATATTGATGTGCCTCAGATACACCAATATCTCAGTGAAGGCAGTGGGGGTTTCACTGCACAGGTATATTCTGACATGAACTGGGGCTGCATTACCCATTCCCTTGTATCCAGGTCTGTGCCCAAGGCAGAATGTGAAATATTCCCAGAGAATGGAGCAAAAGGAAAGTGAAAATTTTATCTAAAGCATATTTTTTGTTGGTAATCGTGGTAAATTTGGGAATGGCTTCCATAAGAATTCTGCTGTGAAATTTGTTCTGGGGAATTTAGATATTTTTGCCTTTTTATTTTCTTCTTAATGGAAAGAAACAACAATAAAAGGACTTATCAGATATTGCCATTTTGTGTAGGATTTCAAACCCTTACATTACAATTTTATAGCTGTTCATAGGTCAGCTGGAACACATATTTTAGAAATTATTACTTGTTTGGGCCACTGAGAAAGGCAAAATATAAAGACAAGTAGCAACAGAGGAATGTATGTACAGTAGCATACAAAATGTTCAATGCACAGAAAAAAAACACTTTTGTAATACCATGTCTCCTTGCTTTGGGGTTTGGCAGCCCATACTTGTGCTGTGGTGGGCTGCCCCATCCTTTACCAGTTCTGCTGGGTTCCAGCTGCCCTGTGACCCTGTGCTTCCAGCCCTGCCCAGCAGCATCTTCAGAGCCGAGCTCCTGGGCCACAGCAGCACAATCCTTCATCCAGACCCGAAGCACAGCACCTGTGAGCCCCTTTGAAATGCCTGGGTGGGTGAATTCTGAGATGGTGTTGGTGAAATGCTGGGAATTGCCTTAAAAAAGAAAGGATATTTCAAACAGCTTTTGAAGCAATTTTCTGGCACACACAGCTTCAGGTCAGTTTTGGTTATGGGTGGTCAAAGCTTAGCCTGTGTGTTTTCAATTATTTGCTGGAAATATTTCTGTGTATGACATCTGTGGAAGGGAATTAGTTTGGTTGCTGGATGGTAAAATTATTATTTCAGCTATTGTCACTTTATCCTTCTCCTGTGAGCACAGATTTACATATCTACAGAAAGAGCAGTGGAGAATTATGATTTCTAGAAACGTTTGCCTTCTAGCTGAAGCCACAGTGAAATGATTAAGTTCATCTTAAAATAGGGTTTTTCAGAAATAAGCTGACAGAATGGAGAGGGTTCACTACAGGGCTACGAAAATGATTCGAGGTTTGGAAAACCTGCCACGTATTTAGAGGCTTAATTAGCTCACTCTTCTTTAAAAGAAAATTACCATGTGATCTGATCAGCCTACAAATACTTACTTTGTCATTCCTAGTGACAGCTCCTTTCTCTTTCCCACAAAAGCATAACAATATCCAGCCAAACCACTCATTGCTTGAAAATAAGAATATTTCTAATTGGATAGATAAACAGATAACTGTCCAAAAGCAGAATGGATACTTGAAATCTTTGATTCAAGACCATTGACTTCCTAGAAGGATGAACTTAGCTCCAACACAGCCTGATGAGGGCTAAAGGACACTCACCAGCAAGGACATCCAAAAGATCAGTCTGAAGGAGGAGGTGAGATGACAACAATTACTTCTGCCCTTGTAATCCATGACTGTGTGTGAGGGAGATGGATAGGTAGCAGAGAACAGAGCTTATTTGGAATAGACACTATTTTACAGCCTACTAAAGACGTCAAGGCCAAAGTGAATACCATAATAATGGCAATTAAGGTAGAGCTGGCTATCTTTCCAGGTTAGGCTTTCCAGTTAATCATGCAAAGGTCACTGCTAATGCCACTCAAGCACAGCAGACGTGTAAAGCCACTCTAAACCACCTCTGATTAAAATGAGTTGCAAATCTTATCTTTCTAACTAGTCAATTAAAAAATGTGTTATTTTTGTCAGCTGTACAGTTGTTCTCATATTTTTAAAGGAATGTCTGCTTTATAATATAAGGCCCATTCCTACAGATCTCAAATATTTTACTGGAATTTCAGGCATAGGAACAGAATTTACTTGAAATTGTGTTAATTAAAAATATGGTATTTCTAAGTTTGTTTAACTTTTCTTTCAGAAAAGTAAATAAATACTTTTCAGAAAAGTAAATAAATACTGAAGTGAGATAAATAGATACTGCCTGAGTAGGCAAGAAGACAGAGAGAAATAATCTTGGAAGTCTGTTGCATCGAATGGGTAAATTGAATATGAAGTATAGCATAAAATGTGATTGTTTAAAAAGGAGGCCAATTACGTTTCTGTTTTGAAATACAAATCTTGCAGCCTTATTCACAGATTTGCTCTCTACTATTCCATGCAGCTTGCAAAATTCTTGATGAAAAGAAATAATTTTTTTTCATCCCTCGTGGAGAAGCTGTTTCTATTGAGATGCACAGGGAATGTTCTAATTATTAAACCTTTCCTCTCTTAGAGTGTGCTCCCATTGCATAATGTTCTGTCCCCCAATGGCCTTTTCCCTTCATGTTTTCTCCATAATTAGGAAGAAGGCTCTGTTGGAGCCTGTGCTGGCAGAGCAGAACCCGCGTTGTCAGGGCTGGAGCCTTTTGCAGAGGATGAGTCTCTGCTGTGCCTCCACAAGGAACTCACTGCCAATTGTTTGCAGGGAAGAGCCACCTCACAGTAAACATCTCTCTCTTAATGGTGACAGACTTAGTCAGGAGAGTGAAATAATAAATCCAACAGAAGCAGGGAGCTGGCCGAATCATTGGAGGAGAAATCACTCCTGCCAGGTGCTAAGAACTTTGGTGACAACACAAAAGTCTCCAAGCCCTGGAGTAAAAGTATTTTGCATTTTTAAAGCATTTCATGTCTTCAAGATGCAGAACAGATGTTTCTTAATTCTTCTAATGGTTCTGTGAAGCAGGTCAGCATTATCTCAGCTTTACAGATGGGCATGGAGTGCAGAGGGGTTGAATGATTTGTCTCGGTCCAGGGTATGAATCACTGTCAGAACCAGGAATAGGACTCAGCAGCTCTTGGGAGTACATGCACATGCTGAAACCACTCAACCACACTGTACCCATCACAAGAAATGGAAATTAATTTTTAATATTCCTGTTTCTAAAGTGAGATTTTGGATTTCAGAAAAATTAAATATTTATTTCATTATGTATGACTTCATAAGCCTATAATTTATACCAGATAGATTTATTGGCTTTATTTCCCCATGATAATTAGATAGTCCTTGTCGATCTAATGGGTTTGTGATTTTTAGTGATGTCTCCATCTGCCCAAAGAAATAGCATTACTTGCCTCTTAGGTACTTAGGAACAGACTTAAATGATATGCACATAAAATCTTATGGAGCTACAATATTAAAATGAAGGGGTTTTCCTTCTCCTAAATGCAGGTTAAATAGACTAAATTAATTTGCAACTACTTCAGTTTTCTAAGCAAATTTAATCCTCTGATATTTATCAGGCTGGCATTATGGCAGTCCTTTATGTACTTAAAATATTGAGTATTTAAACTGCTGATATGTTGCAGTGATACCAGAGTTTGCAAACATTAGTTTGCCTTTAGCAGTAAAAAAGCCCCACACAGTGCCTCTGGCTGGATGGTGATTCAGCCCTGTGTGCAGGACAGTGACTGACATTGGGAGACAGAACATTCTGGACTGAAACAACTGCAAAGGAGAGATTTTCCCTTAATCCCAGTAATGTCCTTTTTCTTCAGCATCTCCTGAATTACTCCACTGCTGTTACTGTATGTTACTGAAGCCTCTGCAGCCATGGTATTACCATCAACATGAAATCTAAAATTCTAGTCCTTTTGCCTGGCCAGCCTCAATTTTTTTTTTTATTTTTTATTTTTTAATCAAAATATAATTTCCCAGAGCCACAGGGCTCCTTTTCCCTGTGCAGAAATTAATCTCAATTTCTTGCCCAACAAGTCAAGGACTCCTTCTGTTTCACAGGCCAGTCTTGAATCCTTAACATTTTTTTCCTGGGTGAAAACCAGATCAAACTACATCTTCTTTGTATAACTAGTATACAGGAAACTGAAAACTGTGGCCCTGAACATAAAAAACCTAAAGAGTATCCTGACCTTTTCCACAAATGAACATTACATTTTCAGCTAAAATGTAAAAATAGATCAAGCATTATCATATTTTTCATTCCTGCATTATTATGTTCATGATAAATTTGGGGAATCCTGCAGATGTATTCAGCCAGAAAGTCAAAAGCAGGACCTTGATGAGTATTTTTGAATAAATGTGTCCTTTAAAGGTTAAGTATGAAGGAGAGGATGTAACATTTTTGTTCAATTACACTAATGTTTTAAAGGCAGCATTACTGTCAAGCCAAATAACATCTTAAGAAAAGACAAGGATGGAGGGAGGCTGAAAGAGTGACCCAGAGGAATCTCTATACAAATGTAGGGAAAAAAGACAACAGCAGAAAGAGTGAATGGGCTAAATTGTGAATGGATATATTGGTTGTGATCCTGCTTTTGCTTCTTCTTTCTCTTTCAGTCCCAAATTAGACTTCATCCATCTGGGTGCACATGCCCTGCTCGCCAAATTTCTGCTTAGCCTTGCAAGGATCAGAACTAATTACCCAAGCAAGAGATTCTCATCTGTTCCCTGCCTTGACCTCCTGTTGGTGCTCTGCTCCTCTCCAGACAGCCTGTGCACACACTAGAGCCAGAATTTGGCCAGCGTGCTGGCAAAGGGAGAAGAATTTAAAAGGGAGAAAAGAAATGCAGATGGCTGAGGAGCACCTGTCAAGGATTCCCAGGGTGCAGACAGATTAGTGATGCTATTTTGGTTGCAGTGGATGCAACAATCTCTTCCCCACAGCACTTGATGGGGACAAGTTTCTACTCCAGGGTGAGAGGTGAGAAAGGTGGTTCCCCTTTTCCTCCACCTGGCACATAGGGGAGACACCTTTAAAGCCAAAATGGAGAAACCAAGCTGTTTATGAGAGTCAGTATTTTCCCCATTTCACATGAATTTTCTCCTATAATATGTTAGGTATAATTTTTTCCTTTGTCTTGTACTCTGAATTACGGGCTGTCCTACTGTGGCTGGTTTGACAGCCATATCTTTCTTGTTTATAATACAATTTGACTGACAATAAGTCAGGGAGCTGTGATTTGAACTCCTCATTGTGACTGGCCTGACAATAATCTCTTTCTCATTTATAACCATTTGATTGACAATAACTCAGGGGATTGGCAGCTGGTTAGGTTTTTTTTCCCCCTGAATGCATATTTCTAGCTAAGACACGACATCTATTCCTAAATAGTTTGACAGATAATTTGTACAAAATTCTAGAAGGAAGAAAATTTCTCACCATTCTTATTAAAATAATATTATTCTTTGGCTTTGTACCAAATTCACTTTTAAGATGATGGTTTTCCATCTTTCTCCTGTGCCAGTTTTGTCTCTATTTTTCATCACCATTATTAAAGCATTATAAAATTGCAGTTTATATGTTTGTAACTGTTACATGTGTTCTTGATAATTTTTCTTCTTAACAAGTATGAGAAAAGCTATTACCTGCTTTGCCAAATCCATGTAGATGTGCTCTAACTGGGAGGTTTGGGGAACTCTTTGCAGTAGTTCTGCTTGTGTATTGTTAAATGTAGTCAGTCACTTCCAGGATATTTTCTCTATTTTTATAGAGAAGGAATTCTGGCACTCAATGAGCTGTTGATAAGTAGCATCTCTAAAGAAATCCACTTTCTCTGACACTTGGCACAACTCTGCCTTCCACCAGTGAGTCTCAAAGCCAAAACCAGCAGAGTTTGTGGTGATGGAATAGCAAACAGTAGCTTGCAGTGACCTTCTTCAAAACTTGGCCAGGAATCAATGCCAAAGTGGCCCATGAAACATACTCTGGGCAGTGGAATAACAACCTGTCAGGCTGCCCAATGCATCCCTGCAATGTCCACAGGCAGAGGAAAGTGAGAGTATGGATGGAAAACAGAAATCCTGAAGAGCATTTTGATTTAGAAAACATAAAGAAGCCCCAAACCCACAAACAGAGATCTGCATATTCCTGCTGAGAAGTTTCAGTCTGACCATGAGGGGCTCTCAATTGGATATCCTTCATGAGTGCAGCACTGTGGAGTGGGTTGAAGGGCAGGGGAGAAGGGGTCATGGGCGGGAAATCAATAATGGTGCAATTCCCAGGGTGAGGCAGCAGATTCTGCAGCCACTTGTAAGTCCATTTTTCACATCAGTTCCAGTGTCCATGGTTATAAAGAGCATATTTTTGATACTCCTCTAGCCCAAGATGGATTTAATGCAGCTACAGAGAAGGACTAGTTTATATTTTTTGCAGAGCACCCATGGATTTTTTAACTGGAGGGATATGATCTCTGCATAGTTTAAATGTCCCACTTTCACATGCAAATATTTTCTATAAAAATACTGGGGAGATTTTCTCTAGTCACTGAGTAAATATTCTGCTCAGAAATACTTTCAAAATTCTTCATAAGGAGTCCAGTCAGCTACATCATTTAAATATGCTTGAGGGACTGAAGACTGAACAAGGAAAAGCATAAATTGCACTTGAGCTACTGAAGAACAAAAAGTAGAACAGGTATGTTTGTGTCTGTGCTTGTTACTAAAGGATGAAAGTGTGAAGAAAAGCTTTAAATTGGTACTGGAAAAACATTCGATTTTAGAATTCCGATGCAAAAGTATTCAGTAGAACAAGAAGCCTAAAATGAGAGCTAAAGGCACTAGGCCGCAGAATCGAAATGTAGAGTTTGTTCGGTGGAGAGAAAAATATTTATTTCTTGTTTTCTATTCCAAATAAATTTCTTTCTCATGCTGTAATCTCATGCTGCTGTTTATCTCAACTTGTGACTTTGCTTATTCCCTCTTCTCTTCTAAAAATCATGAAGCTGGTGGTGCATTTAATCACCTTCTTTCCTAGATGATGCCAAACAAGGGAGCATATTCCCATGAAACACTTGAGCTGGTGAATTCCCCCAGTTAAATACCACCATTTTAAACAGGGAAGATTAACACAATAAAAAAAATCAAAGGGAACAGAATTATATTTCAAAGCTACTCCAGGCTAACGTAGCACAACGCTGAGCTCTGTGCTCTCACAGAGAGCTGCTGGCCTCAGGCAGGCTAAATAAAACGTGTTTTACATCTGGATCAGAGTTAGAAAAATCTTCATACTGCTTGTTTTTTTTTCCTTGAATAAATGGTGAGGAATATAGCAGCCACTGGTGCTGTAGCATGGCTTTCATAAAGCAGAATAGCTCTGTTTTCTCACTCCACTTATGCCAGTATTTGGCTATCAGATAGGGATATTCTCTATAATCTTTTTAATTAGCTGCTGGGGGGCTGTTTGGGGCACATCAGGGCCAGCTGTGGGGTAGAAGCAGACACAGTTATTCACCTTTCCAGATCCATTTAAAGTGATTTCTACTCCATGAGTAAGAGTCAAAACAGCTTTTTCTATGAGGTTGAAAACAGAGGCATAGATGAACTTTGTCCTTTTTTCATTCTGGGGGTGCCCTAAGCTATGCTTCCAGTAGTAGTTAAATTTTTAATATTTTTTAATTATGGATCCTCCCATTAAAAAGTGGGAAAATGGACCATTTTGTCCTCCAGTGAACTATAATGGAAGACTGTAGTGTAGGAAAGAAAGATACAGGACCAAAATTGGAAGCTCGTAATTTTTGAAATATGAACTCTTTCCCAGGTGACTGTATGGAAAGAGAAAAAGAAAAAACCAGCTGTGGTTAGACAGCAGAAGAACATGGAAACCAGCTTCCCTGTTCAGGGGGCTATTCTAGGGAATACTGCTAAAAGCAAATATGCAAAGACATCAGAAAAATACAGTGTATTTATTGTCTTCTCTCTAAGAAACTGCCAAACATCTTCCTCTGATTTATTACAATTATTAACATTTAGCCATTAAAGAGTATCACAGGTAAGAGTTATTCTTGTTTTTTATTCAACACTTCCAATTAGCATGTTCAAGTTACATGTTCATAGTTTTAAATGACAAAGAAATTCTTATTTGTGTGAAAACCTTTTCCCTCATCCTTGTGTTACCTCAAATACAGATTCTTGCCTGCCTGTATTTTATCTCATATAATGCAACCCAGATAGTACAATGCTTGGAAGACAGGTTTTTTGTGTGTTTTTTTTTTTTTTTAATTGGTCACTACAATTTTTTGTATTAATATTTCACTTTTAAGGAGGAAAAGAATGCAGTTAGGCAGAAGAGACAATTTTCACTCTTTCCACCACTACTGTTAAAACATACTCACAGTATATGATTGAGAGAATTGACTTTCAGCTCTGATAGGTTATAAATAGAAGGCATTGTCATTGTCTAGCAGTTCTCCTGCAAAGGAGAGCTAACTGAGTAGATTAATAAAATATTGTCATTAAAAAACCATTTTCAGTTAAATTTTAGAGTAGCTGATGAAATATTTCTCTAGCAGCCCTGTCAGCTCATGCTCCAAGTCATAACCTGTCCTGCTTGGTTTTTTGTGTTTGGTTGGTTTGGGATTTTTTAAGTAAAAAAAGCCTTACCCCAAACCTAAAATACCTGAGCCTGGGGGGAGTGAGAGTGTCCTGGGCTCAGAGTTCTGGATTTATAGAATGCTTTGGGTTGGAAGGGACCTTTCAAGAGACCCCATCAGACTCCAGCTGTCCTGGGGTTCAGCTCAGATATGGTGTGGGGACAGTCAGAGAGATGGGCTTGGGAGATGGTTTGTCCAAAGTGCCTCTGTTGTGGCTGCTGCACTGCCCTGCTGTGCTGAAAGAGGTGAGCAGAATGTGAAAACAGGCTGGGAGTTTGTTAATACCCTTAATGAAGCAATGCCTTTATTTTATATAAAGTACAGTGTGTGCCATATAAGGTCTGGTATTTCAGGGACAGACAATTAAAAATCTAAGAGTAATTTACCACTCTAACATCAGCCAAAACATCTCTGTTTGGCTTTTAGTTCTTCTCCAGCTAAGGGATGACAGCAATGAAGATGAAAGCTTTTTTTATTTCTCTTTATGATCTCAGCAAAGTGCAGATTTGAGACACAGAAAAAGGTTGACCTTCATATTAACCTGAATTTCTTTTCCTGTTTCTTCTTGAACATATTTTATTCTCTTTATGCACAGTGGGGCTCTTTTTTCATGTGCTCTGCTGTTGAACAAAATGCCAAAAAGATGGAGTGTGCACTTTTACATCAAAGAAATGATGAGACCGTGAAAACTCATTTCCCTTGTGACTTCTTAAATTGCTACTAAGGAATTGAATGTGTCTGTTTGAAACAATGTGTCCCTTTAAATTCTGTTTTCTTATTTTTCTTAAAGCAGAAAACCATGGTTTCATTTAGATCATGATCCAAAGGCCACTGAAGTTAAGAAAAGGTTCTTAGTTACTGCAGTGAGTGGTAGATCAGATTTTTCAAGTGTTTCACTGTGTAAAACCCAGAACAGACAGTTTTAAAAAGAATTGCTTATCTATAGGAGAAAAAATTGCCTGGTGTATTTTGTTTATTCAGCTAGTTAAAAGTCTCACCTTCAGCTGGGCAAGAACTAAGTGAATTCCCTTCTTACTGCACAGAACGGATTTGACAAGGACAAGAAAGGTCAAGCTGTAGTTAAATTCAGAAAGACAAACCAGGGAAAATATTGATTTACTGCAGTTTTTCTCATACACAAAGGTGATGTGAGGTAGAAGCAAACACAATAACGAAATCCACAACATAAACTCTGTTGGAGGAAAACCTTTTCCAGTGCTACACTACAGTTCTGGATAATCCCTCACTGCTGGGATGAATGAGTTGTCAGTGCTACAGTCCAGGAAGCTGCTAGAAATGCTCTTGATTGGACTGAAAGGCATTGTAAAGCAATTAAGTTCTGACTATTAATAAAGCTCCCACAGGATTCATTAATTTTTAAAAGTAGACAAAGACGGCATTTAGTAGCTGTAGAACTGTGGCTATACTGAAATATGGAAAAATGCTACACCATGTCCATGCTGTTGTAAATATTCCTTATCAGGTTCCAGAAAAAGGTTGTGAATTTCTAATTTAGAAAAGCATTTAAGCATATGATGAAATTTCATTTTGACTGGATATAAATTAAACAAACAGCTAAACCCTTTGCTGAATAAGGAGCAATTTGAATATCTGCTTATAGCCCAGATTCAGATTACATTGAAGTTTCCATTCCTCTGAATTTGAGCCATAATCCCCTGAATTGTCATGGTATTTTCTGGGTCTAGAATACATAAGATTTCACTTTCCTCCCAGACACAAAGCAACCTTCTTAAAGATACCCATAGTGCATATCCATGTTGCTTTCCAAAGTTCCAGTCTTGTGCTCTCTTTAATTTATAGTTTATTTCTCACTCCCAAGACATGTAGTAATTTCAGTAGGTGATTTTATAGCTCCTCAAAACAGTGATTGCTTACTCTAGCAGTTC